TGTCTCACCAGCTTTTGAAGCAACGTTCCAGTACGCTGCCATTTCCCATGCGATGCCCATGGTCCTAAAACCTTGACTATCCAAATGTAATAACCCTTTTAAAGAGAAATGACCAGCAGCACCCCCATGAATGAGAATGATCTCATCCCCCAGACATGCACAGCTAGGATTATATGAGAATGGAAAATATTTACTGCTGCATCAACAGTGAAGAGAGGGAAAGGTCCCATATCAAAAGTCTCTCTATGTACAAAAGGGAAAGAAAGGGACGTTGGGCAAACACGCTACAACTGTAGCAAACATGCTAAGTATGAAAAGGGAATGCTGCCAAGGCCGAGAAGAAGTCTTTCAAGCAGTCGTTCCGAAAGGGTACACCATAAAAGGATTGCTGGAATGCCAACAGCAAGGCTGGCCCTGTCATTAGGCAGAGGGAGGCACCTGTCTCAGGCAGCCAGTTCTCAGTATCATTTTATAAAAAGGCACTGAATTCTTATTTATTAATTTGTTTGCCTTGCCAGGAAAAGAGAGAGATGCCTGTGAAATCTTAAATAACTTTACAGACCAAGAATATTCTGCACCTTGGCTTTCCATGGGATGGAGGAGCAGGAACTGTTGCTCCACTTCAGATTGCAAAATGTCTGGGCTGCCTTTGGCCAATAGAAATATTTTAATGGTTTCTATGAATCCCAAGAGCCAGTCTGGTGCAAGGTAATGTCCTTCCTTTCAAGGACATGTCCTACATTTCAACCTTCTGTCCAGGAAGAATTCCAAAATGTCCTCTATTTTGAGCATGACTAAGAGGGCAGTTTATTCGCAGAAGAGACATCCCAAATACAAAACAGGAAAAAGAGCTTCTCGGAGACCAGGATGTTCATTTTTGTTGTTGCTGCTGTTAAAATGTACACCTTGCATTTCAATTTACATATCAGGGTGGCTAACAACTAACAAACACAAAACACAGCATCAAGATTTTATTATATTTCATTTAATAAAATTTCTCACACCCTTCAGCTACAAAAGTGGACTCTAGGGTGCCTATTGAAGAACAGGGGCTTGGCATGACAGTTGCCACAGCCACACATTCCAAGGAGTGGAGGGAAATAGAGACAACCCAGTTGGTTCATATCATAGAATCATAGAATTATAGAGTTGGAAGAGACCACAAGGGCCATCCAGTCCAACCCCCTGCCATGCAGGAACTCCCAACCAAAGCTTCCCTGACAGATGGCCATCCAGCCTCTGCTTAAAGACCTCCAAGGAAGGAGACTCCACTACTCTCCGAGGGAGTGTGTTCCACTGTCGAACCGCCCTTACTGTCAGGTAGTTCCTCCTAATGTTGAGGTGGAATCTCTTTTCCTGGAGCTTGCATCCATTGCTCCGGGTCCTAGTCTCTGGAGCAGCAGAAAACAAGCTTGTTCCCTCCTCAATATGACAACAAAACAGTGCTAGCCATTCCCATCTCAAACTACTGGGTCTTGATTTTAATAAACAAACAGATTTCCCTTTCATAGTGGCATCCCCACCCCTGGTGTTAGCCAGTGTGGTGGACCCTGCTGGGGCAGGCAGTGGCCAAAAGGGTGCACTCATTCCTCTCCTTTGCTGAGGTGACAGAGGTCTCCTCATGAGAAGGCCTCCACCACTGCAGCAAAGCTGGGAGGGGCACAGTAGGAGGAGAGCCCTACTGCGTGTCACCCCTCTTCTGGAGTTTCACCCAGTGTAGGCCACATTCTCCACACACCCCTTGTGAGGCCACTGCCATTTCATACTACCCAATTCCAGTACTATGCTTCTACCTTACAGCATCCTGTGCAATATGGTCTGTAGTTTGGTGAAGTACTGGGGCTCTCTGGTTGAAAAGTCTACGTTATCCCACGGGGGCAAATCTGCTGATTAATGCACACAAATCCCAAACAGAAACTGGATTTGTGCCTCGCGTTTTCACACGACGTCGCACAGAAACTGGACAGAAAGTGGACAGAAACTGGTGTTAACCGAGATCTTTTGAAATTCAGTTGTTTGGAGGAAATGAAAATGCAAAATTAAGGTAATTTCACATTTACCGTAATGTGAAAAGCAAATGCGCATTTGGGAGCATTTTCCTGCTTTTCCCATGGTTCCAGTGAGCATTCCTCTATCTGCACATATGCAAGAAGATCATTTCTAGTACATTTACGGGCTTTTCTCGCTTGTGTGTGAACATTAAATTCGCATACTGTAACTTCGCAATTAAGGTAATTTTCCATTTATTTTCCGTTTATTTTCGGAATGCCTCATTTCCACTTTATTATTGCTTTCTGGCCCACGTGTGAAAACGTCCCAAGGGCCTTTACAGGCTGCCAGAAATAGTGCAGCTTGAGGCCACTTTA